AAAAAAAGACAATGCTCCAATAGGCCTTTAAAATGCATGCATTCAGGATCCTTCAAAAGCATCCCGGAGCAAGGCAGAAGGGGAAGTAACCGAGGTTTCTTTGGGCGGACGCTCCAAATAAATACATTAGGGCACCGCTGAGAAGTTGCCTGGTTCAGCCTGCCTCTACAGCAGAAGTTAAAACGAGGACACCTATTATTAACACGTGAATAAATGCGGGCTTCTTATTCAAGGTATTTTTCTGCGCCTGTGTGCCAGCTTCCAGAGTGGAGGGCACTTGCTCGGATTTAAATGGCCAATTCAGCTCTATTTAACAACAACAAAAAAAACCCCTCTTCAACACTGTCTTGCATGCTCCAGCAAAGGCTGAGCCACGTCTCTAATTATTACCGCAGAATTTCAAATTCTGCCACTCCCATGTGGAGGGGAAAAAAAGGTTGTCAACTGAAGCAGTTATTCATTTTAAGGTACCCCGTCGTAAACTTTCCTCCTGATCAGAAGTCTGACTCTCATGTATCAATGATCATTTCCTATGCCGAAGTTTAAATAGCAAAAGAGGGGAGATTTGGGACTCCCAGCTCTTCTACACACTCTAAGGTCAAAATGCTGCAAACGTTTGCATCGGGCTGCTGGAAATTCTGAATTTCATGTGAAGGGTTTTCTTTGTGAAAGATTTAAGAACCGAAAGTTAAAGTGGCTCCGATGCAGAAGAAGGGACTGCCACTGCTAGTCTATGGAAAGCAAAGGCGTGAACAAATAGCTTTTAAAAAGGCTGACACTTAGCTGAACTGAAAAAGTCAAGGCAAGTTTGTCAGTACAGTAACTTTCTTTCACAAACAGTACTCGGGGGACAAAACACAAATTATGCAAGCAATTGTACTTCTGGACCTTGCTTTCTTTTAAAAACTCTCTTCGCTAGGCTGGGGTGATCCCTCCCAACCATTTCCCCCAGTCCTCAATTCAAGTGGTAAGTCTCGAGAAATAAAAAAAAATTAGCATTGCATCCAAAACAGCACTGTCTAATCATAATAAATTCATAAAGTGCATGCTCTTTATGTCTAACTCCAATTTAAACAGGCAACTTGGCCAAAAGAGAGTTCAGACTGCAGCCCTGCACAGTTGTGATGGCAAAAAAAAGTTATGTTTACTCCAAGTTGCAAGTTATCTTTTTAAAAAGCGACGGTGCATATCATCACTACCATAGCAAGATGTTCAAAGACATGCAGATCTTAAAATATTTTAAGCCCTGGCGAGTTTTAAAAAGGCATTGTTAGGACTTTATCTGTAAAACTAATAAAAACATAAGCTTATACCTGCAGTTGCATGCGATAATGTCATTAATACAGAGAAAGCTTGCCTTTTCAATGAGATGTCTGTCACAGGCATTGATAGAAGCAAGAAAATGTCAACATAAACAGGTTTTAAGTCTACAAGTATAACTAATAAATCCTCTCCCATCAGGACACCGCTGTGTGTCTCTGATCCAAAGAGGAGGCAAAAAAAGAAGAAAAAAAGAAAAAAGAAAAAAAAACTTTTTCGCAGCGTGTCGGCCACGTTTCAATATTATTTCACATTTTAATTCCAATTTTGTTGTTTCATACGTACCCTTTGCGCCATCGGCCTGGCTCGCTCCCTTCCTACTTCAACTTCTAATATATCCTCTTTAAGGCCAGTGTGAAAAGAAACAAACGCAAACTCCCCCCCCACCCAAAAAATTTGCCAAAATCCCTTAGCGTCGCCAGCAATGGGAGCAATGGAGTAAAATCTTCAGCTTGCTGGATCTCAGAGAAGCGATACAATAATTCAGCATTAAAAAAATAAAATAAAAAATATATAAAAAAACCAAACTCTCCCTCCTTCTCTTTCTTTCTTTCTTTCTCTCTCTCTCTCTCTCTCTCTCACTCTCGCCCTCTCGTTTCCAAGACAGCAGCGGGGAGAAAGCAAATATCCTTTCCCCAAATCAGTTTTTTTTTTTTAAAAGTGCCCCTCAAACCCAACTACCAAGTCTCATGGCTTTTTGCCACTCCAGCTGTCAATCAAAGGCGAGGTTGTCAAGGTGGTGAATGAATGATGACGATCCGCTGTGTGTGCTTCCACTGGTCAGGACACCTCAAATGTTAATATTCAAATGCATAAAGGTCTAAAGCGCTGGCTTTTTTTCCCCTTGAATCAGTCCTAATTCCTAATCAGCTCTCGCTCCCGCTCTCTCTCCCCCCTTTGCAAGTGCTGCAACTGGAGAGGCTAGAGGAAGAGGGTTAAAAAAATGTCTGTCTGAGTTTGTCTTAAAGGAGCCACGATCGATGCTGCCTGCTGCCAGTTCCCCGTGCGTGTGTAAAGTGTGTGTTGCACAGGCGGAGAGGTGGATTTGGACCAGAATGCTGGAACCCGGAAGTAGTGGTGGCCATAACAGGTCGCGTCTTACACAATGCACTGGGCTGCAGCAACTGCGCTCCCAGCGCAGGGGTGGGTTGGGCGAGACGCGAGCGGCTGAACTGGCGGAGAGAGCAGCTGCAATTAGCGCCGAGCCGAGCCGAGCCGAGCCCAGCCCCCGGCCCGGCCGTGTGTGTGTGTGTGTGTGTGTGTGTGTGTGTGTGTGTGTGTGTGTGGTGGGAGAAATCCCGTGCAAGAGGCGGTGGGGGAGTGAAATCCTGTGCAAGGGGTTTTGTGTGTGTGTGTTGGTGGGAGAAATCCCATGCAAGTGGGTGGGGGGCGGTGAGTGAAATCCTATGCAAGGGGGGTGTATGTGTGTCCGTGTGCGTGTAGTGGGAGAAAACCTATGCAAGGCGGGGGTGCGAGATCCTTTGCAAGGAGGGGTTGTGTGTGTGGTGGGAAAAATCCTGCACAAGGTGTGTGTGTACGGGTGGTGGGAGAAATCCTATGCAAGGGGTGTGTGTGGGTGTGTGGGTGCTGGGAGTAATCCTGTGCAGGGGGAGGGGGTGCGTGTGTTGGAGGAGTCCTAAGCAAGGGGTGTGTGCGTGTTTGTGTGTAGTGGGATAAATCCTATGGAAGGTGTGTGTGTTGGGAGGAATCCTATGTTTGTGTCTGTGTGCGTGTCCCTGCCTCCCCCTACACCCCAAGCGTCTGGAGCACTGGTTTTGGGGACGGGGGCAGGAGAGAAGCGCCTATGGCAGAGGCTGCCAGCTTGCTGCCCCAGTGCTGGGGAGCCGAGAGGAGCAGGGTTACGGCTCGCACATCCTTTCTTCTCCGAGCCGCACACGGATGCACACGCACACGCAGCTTTCCTTCTCCAAGCATGGCTCGGGGCTGCGGCCAGAAGATCCGCCGCTGGGTCCTTTCACACACACACACACACACACACACACACACCCGGGGTGGACATTATGATCATGATGATCCTCATGATGATCACTGGTGCCGGTCGGAGGCGCCGGGCGGACACCCGGGAGCCACGAGCCCCTTTATTCCCCTCTGCTCTGTCATTGGCCGGGCCCCGGCCCCGCTTCACCCGCAGCCTCCCGGCTCCGCGGCCCTGTCCTTTGTCTGCCGGGAAGGGAGGCTGCCCGGGGAGGGCCCCCCACCCCGCCCGGGATCCAGCCCTCCACACTCACCCTCCCCACGACCTGCCAGCCTCACCCCCCTTTTTTTGCACTGCTGTCCCCGCAGTCTCTCCCTCAGGTCCCAGCCGCACTGAGGACCCACTCCAGCCTCTGCTCTGCACCCCCGTGCTGAAACCCCTGCCCTGCTGAGCTGCCTGTGGTACCCCTTGCCCACCCCTGCCCCTGCACCGGCGCTCAGCCCCCGCCGCCGGGAGCCCGGGCTGGGCTGGGCTGGGCTTGCTTTTTTTTTTCTTCCCTCCCACTTCTCTCTCCCCCACAGGCTCCAAGTCCCTCGGAAAAAAAAAAAAAATCCCCCCCCCCGCACTCAGGTGGCAAATGAGCTCGCCCAAATCTCAGTAGGCAGCAGTGGAGGAGCGGCGGGCCAATCAGGGGCCAGGCTTCCCAAGCCTCCCGCCCATTGGTGGAGGGGAAAATCAATTATCAAATAATCGATCAGCAGGGAGCTTCGATCTGCTGGGAGTGCCACCCCCACACCCCACCCCACCCGTGCCAGCCCGGGCACTTGTTCTGCTGCAGCGCCAGTGCCTGCGGACACGCACAGAGCAATGGCCTCTTCCCCTCTCTTATCGCGAGCAAAGTGTGTACA